TAAGTCTGGCCTATGGTGGGTAATGGTTTACCAATAATATATATATATATATATATATATATATATATATATATATATATGTTGGTAATAGACCATAATTTTTACAATATTTTATAAATTCTACTGAATGTTTGGCGTTAACATGTTTGTAGTTCGTTTTTTCTGTTTTCTCACTAAAGTTTTTTGGTGAACGTTTAGTTTATTAAAATTCAAAATAAACTTATTTTCCGAATTGATGCTGCAAATAAGGCCATATTTCGATTCCGAATGAATCATCATCAGTGCGGTTGATGTTTATATAGGGAAATATTGTCTTTGTCAAAATGAACTTAGATGGAAATTAGGTGTCAGGTTTCTTTATTGACTGATCATCTACTTTGGTCTCCTTTTCTTCATCGATAGCATCATATTCTTCTTTGTCACTATTTACAATGCTAGTTTTTATTACTTCTTTGTTTTCATTGTTGGTTAAGCGTCGGGTTGGGAGTGAGGTTGTCATTTTTTGTTGTATATTTATTAAACCAACCCAAATAGTAAAGTTATACTTCGAATTTATTACAACAATAAAAAGACGTCTCACCTAATACTGAAAAACAACTTTAGTCCTAGAGATAACTCTAAAAAGATAACTGTTAAAGCGTTCTCTTCTTCATTTGTTCTCCTCTGCTTCTTCTGGAACCTCATCTCTTTTGTATAGCTTGTAAATGTTCCCCATAAAAGTGTCACGTCCATAAATTTACAAGCGGTTCATTCCTCAATACATGCTTAACAATTTCTAACTATTAGTTTTTATTTCGATCTCACGTCTGTAACAAATCTTCAATGCACTGAAATTTACCTATTACATTTTTATTGTTACACCCATTTCCACCAAACACATCAAGATTTGACATTTTATATTGACACTTACCACAATAGCGTTTAGTACCTCCAATATCTAAAACAACTTTCAACGTTTACTCCATCAAAATCAATATCATCAACACAACCACCAATGCTATCTGGCTCAAAAAGTTGTAAACATGCAATTGTTATGCCGTTGTTGAAAAAAAAGTGATGCAGATCCAAGTGATGTCAATAATTATCGGCCTATCAGTAATCTGTCATTTATATCAAAACTCATTGAAAGATTAGTTTCGAGACAATTGCTTGCTCATTTGAATGATAATAATCTCATGCCTGCACATCAATCCGGTTTTAGACGATCTCACTCTACTGAAACTGCCCTGCTACGTATTCTCTCAAGGGTTTATGCTGAGATGGATGCTCAAAACATTTTCTTGTTGGCATTTTTAGATATGAGCTCGGCCTTCGACTGTGTCAATCATGAAATGTTACTGCTCAGGATGCATCAAAGTTATTGAATATCTTGGAAGATAATAAATTGGCTCAGAAACTATCTGATTGGCCGAAAACAGTAGGTTTCGTTTAACAGGAGTTTGTCCTACGTCAGTGTAGTTCTCTCTGGTGTGCCGCAGGGATCTGTTTTGAGTCCTTTATTTTTTCTGCTTTAAACATCTGATCTGTTTAAGATAATTGATTCTTATGATTTTACAAGCTATGCATATGCAGACGACATTTAAACTATGTTATCAGGTAAACCGTAGTTATTTCATTCTTGTTATTTTGATGTGAATATAGTTATAATTTGATAGCGTTTGTGAAACTGCTAAAACGAACGCTATATAAATTTTTTTAATATGTATTGAAAATTGAAAAAACGAACTGCAAACATATTAACGCCAAACATTCGGTAGAATTTATAGAATATTGTTAATATATATATATATATATATATATATATATATATAGTTTGGAACGAGGCTTTCTTTGATGCATATATCGTTAAATTTATATGCCCATTCTGCATTTAGTTGTTTTTTAAAGACAACTTAAACACGACGTAAATTTTTATACTCGTATTTATTTAATGTCATAATTTAATTAATGTTGTAAGTGTCAGCTGACCGCGCTGTTTCGGCTGACACTTACAACATTAATTCAGGGGCGGATCCACCGGAGGGGCCTGGGGTGGCCGGGCCACCCCATGCCCTTGCACCGGCCCCCCCACCGCAAAATAACAACATTTCAATATGCCCCTATTGCCCCAAAACATCGATTTACATAGAGTTTGATATTGCAATTGCGCGAAATATTTTGAATACTATAAAACAAAACATGTGCATAAAATGTGTGCATTAATTTTTACCGATCTGATCTAGATATTTTAATACTCTTTTATAATAGAACTTTTAGCACATCGCTATTTTGTTATCTGTTCTGCTTTTGAACCGTTCCATGGAAACTGTTTACTGATCTTTATTAAATCACTTAACACATTACACATTTCTGTAATTATCCAATATTCTAATAATGCCGACTGAAGAGAGAAATAGAAAACGAAAAGAAGAGTTAATTAATCAAGCCGCCGCTAAATGTTCTCGATTAAATCAGTTTTTTAGGTTGGTCAATCTTTCTTTCTGTTTCTATTCATCTTTCTTAAAACATTAAACTGTAAACAATAAACATAAACATCATAATCATAACATAGTTTGTTACTTATTATACAAATAAATATTTATATTTTAATTTTGTTTGCAAACCAAACACCAGTCGCCCAAATTGCTGATTTTCTCTTTCAAGTGCCGTTTTTGTATTTTATTCATAAATATTATTCCTGGCGAAGTTTTAAATAAAAAATGAAGGCTCGGATAATTAATTTTTGGTTTTTAAGAGTTTGTGCGTGTGGTTTTTGGATTATACACAGTTCGATAACGTTTTATTATATA